ACACAGAGATACACACATCACAGATTATGATGTTTAAAGTTAGGATGGCACACTAAGTGGGGAAAATACTATTACTCTATTTTTGTCTATTGCGGTTTTTAATACTTTGTTGCCTTTATGTAACTTTTTTTATTTTAAGACTAAGCATCCTTGGCTTTTGACTCCTTACCTGACTCCAAAGGAGAGCTGCACAAGAATTCCTGTACACCTAGACTGTCTGTTTATGCATAAATGGCAAATAAAAATCTTGACATGACTTGACTTGAGTATGTACCCGCTACTGTTTAGATGGTGCTTAATGCCCACCCTGACAGAAACATTTTTTAAAATAAAGAATTTACTGACGTCATTTGGTTTAGCACTGATATATGATGTATTACTATTATTATAATGTGCAAAAGAATCATACATTTTAAACTTTCCAAGGTACAAAGGTGAAATATGCCAAATTAAAGGTAAAACAAATATTTATTCACGACCACCCTAAGGGACCTACTATATGTTTGGGTTATAACTTGAAATCCATACATGGCACATTCAAATACTTTTGACCAACAGGACAGCGAAGGTCTTTGCCTGGTGTGTCATGTGGTCCTCGGATGCTTGCAGGTTTATTTCTGTTTCTCAAATAGTTGCAGAAACAGAAAAATTAGCGGAACGGACATTAATACATGCACACACACACATACACACCGGAAAATGACAGTGAGAAACTCCCGCCAGGCTGCCAGTCCACAGCAGATGACAGAGACCAGCTACTCTTAACACCTATTCAGAGCTTCCAAACCACCTGGAGGAAATTGGAACTGAAACATGTCTGTGCACCAAGTTCAGATGACTCAGAAAGCATCACAGGACAGGTGAGCTGCCCTCGAAGACACAATGTGAAGTCTTAACACTTCTCCCAGGTTGATAGGAAAGTCATAGCTGGGAAACATTTGGCCTTCACACCCAGTTAGTGCCTCATTCTCTCTGTGACACTACTCAATACAGCATTCATACAAAAGGTTCACCACACTGAATGACAAGTACTTATAATGGGCTGTGTTGCCATTGCAAAGCATTATCCACTTGCTGCACAAGATGATTTTAAATTAGAACAGCCTGAAAAGCTCTTTCTCTGAAGTTCTCATCGCAAATATTGTCATTGGATAGATGCTCTATTCTTGAGATTCCCAACTGAACTAACAGCTCTATGGTGCACACTGAAATGGTGCTGATGACAGAGATGAGACTGAACCAGAGCAGTGCTGTAAAACAAGTTCTGTATCAATCCCAATCAACATTATATGCAGTCGTTTGATCCATTGCTAATATAAAAATATTTATTATTGCAGTTTTAAATGGACAGTTTTGCAATTTACCTGCAACAGTATGTACCTTACTCTCTCTTATTTTCTGTCTTGGTGAAGTCAATATATACTCAAACACCCTACCTGTATTGTACGCACACACTCACATACAAACCTTTCCGGTACCATGGCAGGAACCATGGGCAGGATACATTGACTATGGTTCCTGGGAGTCCATCAGGCCAGCAGGCGTATAGATCAAAGGTTCTGTTACACACCAGCCCTGCAGTGGAAGACAAGATCTGTGAAATCTGTGCTCGAGGCTCTTTGTAGGTCAGGCGTTCTTTATTCTCTCACAGACATGAGCTCATGCCGGGAGGAGTGAGGCTCACCTGTGGCGGGGGGCGTGGTGCTAAGGTGGTCCAGGCACTGGTTCTTGTAACTGCTCCACTGCTCCTTCACAAGCTCCAAGGAGTTAATAGAGGAGACCTGCAGAAGACATAACTGCCTGCTTCATATCAGTATTCAGTAATGCTACTACAACCTTTCCCCATCATCCAGCTACTGATTTAGATCTGTAGATTTGCAGTCATGCTTAAGAGAGAGTGTAACCAATCAAAGGCACACATCAGACTGTGTGTGGCTATATGAAAGACAGAAAGGTTGGGAGCCGTACCTTTGTGCAGCTGCAGAGCGCAAGCCAGGCCAAGAGGAGACACACCTGGGACATCCCACTGATGCTGGAAGATGGGGTTCAGTGGGCACCAGAACTCAGAGGAGGCAGTCTTGGCCCTATCTCATCATGTGGCCTACACACACACACACACACACACACACACACACACACACACACCACATGGAGAAGCTTGTTAGTGGACACACACATTGTGTGTGTGTGTGTTGGGGGCTGTTTGAACTGCAGCTGAAAGAGCTGGAGTGAAACGACGAAGACATGAAAGTCAATAAACAAACAAAACAAATAACTTAGTAATATACTGACTACTTCTCTTTCTCACGCACAACACACATGCTTACAACATACTGATAGATGAAAACCGTGTATCTCCACATTGCCAGCTATGCAAGATCCTGAACAAAAAAATGAACCATATTTGTAGCTTGGCCATTGTTTGTTTGTTTGTGAGTAGGTCTAATTGGTTTTATTAACCCAAAACCTTAAATAACTCACCAGAATGTGACCCATGGCACTGAAACAGTTGTCTGCATTAGTGTGTTTCTTTCTCTGTACATTCCTCTACACATTCTTTGAAAAGCTGCCACACAAAAACTGAGAGCTCAACAGATGATAAGATGACAGTAGGGAAGGTGGATCAAAGGATGGGCCTTCAGTGACCAACTCCTGCTAACACATTTTAATGTATGTGTGTGTCTGTGCCTAGCCTCACGTCTAGAACAAACTTTTTAAAAGTCTGTTTAATGAAATCTACAACATTAACTTGACTGAAATAGGTACAATTGTTTATGTGAATGTGTGATTTTTGTGGCAGGGGTGTTTCCTGTGGTGCCATCTTCACCCACGGAGTTGGAGAACAAAACGAAATCTGAAACGTTTCTGCAAAAAACACCTTGACTATGGAAACATTTTTGGCTAAAACGTTTCAAATTCCATTCTATTCCAGTCTTTTTGTGTCTGTTTCAGAACGTCTCCACTGTGTGTGTGTGTGTGTGTGTGTGTGTGTGTGCATGGTGCTAAATAAACGTAGATGAGATCTATGTCAAACAGACTTACTTGTTATCACAGCACACAGACTAGCACCTTCACACGGTAAAGAGATCCAAGCAAACAGAAACACAACAAACTGCTGCTGTGTTTTCTTCCTGCAACAGGCTTTTTATCATGTGGTGTTACAATCATATCTTTTCTCTTTACAGCCACATGCGGGTCTCATTGACTAAGCACCAAAGCCAAACAGAAAAAGAGCAGAAGGACCAATCAACAGTTTTTATTGTAATGTATTCTATGCGCTTGGTACACAGTACCACAGTTTATGATAAATACACAGAGGATTTTTCTGTGAATGATATAAACAACAATATAAATCACTGGATTGGTTTTATCAAGGCAGCTATGGATTTAGGTAAACCTGGAACACAAATGACTCAAACAACAAATCATACTTCATAAGGATCCGTCTGGTGATTTTCTATATTTTATAATTACATAAAAAGACCAGAATCAGTAATGGATTGAGCTCCGTGGTTGACCAGACTGTAAAAAGACACCAATGAGGTACACTGTTACAAATATGAGACATGGTTTTTCGTTACAGTGAACATGGGTATTGCAGTTTATATTTCCAGTCCCGCACATGTACAGTCCGATTGTTTACTTAATTAAAGGTAACAATACCACAGTATAAAAATACTCTGTTACAAGTAAAGGTCCTACATTCAAAATATGACTTCAGTAAAAGTACAAAATTATTAGCAGAAAATATACTTAATGAATCAAAAGTAAAAGTATTCATTAGGCAAAATGGCACCATTTACACTGATGTACATCATATTATTTGATTATAATTATTAATGCATTTTGTGTATGTCACATTCCATGTTGTAGCTGGTAAAGGTGGAGCTCATTTTAGCCACTTATATACTTATAATTTTAATTATTACTGGGTAGCTTGTGAATTTTGTACCAAAGATCAATAAATCTTGTGATTATGCAGTATTTTGTTTTATTAACCTGTTTCTGAAAAGTTACTAGCAACTAAAGTTATCAAAATAAATATAGTGAGCACAAAGCACAATAATTTTCTCTGAAATGTGAAGTCAAAGTATGAAGTAGCATGAAATTACAATACTCAAGTAGAGTTTAGATACCTCCTAATTGTACTTAAGTACAGTACTTGAGTACATGTACTTACACTGTAGTTACTTTCCACCTCTGCGTACAGCACATCAAATATGTATGAATCCACAACTGAAAATAGTCCCCAACAAAAGAACTATTTATTTCTGTTTGAGTACTGTTTAAGTATTCATACACTGTACTGTAAGCATTGTAAAAACTACAGTGCACAGCAGTTTTAGAAAATTATGCAGCCTTCTTCAGTTAGAACTAATGGGTTTGGGCAAGGGTCACGGAGTAGCAGGCGGTGTCAGAAAGCACTAAAGTGCAGGCTAACACCTTGGTTGTGTCTGGTCTTTTTATGGATTTTTATATATAAGAAAATAGTCTAAAATACAGTATTCTATCAACAGTAATACATTATGTACAGTACAATATAATACAATACATTTCAAGCTACTTCATTCATTCCACTGGAGGCAACTCGTTTGAAGCAGCTCTCCTAACACACTACAGCAGACTAACAAACTAATACAACACCCAGAAAAGTAAAACGTCAAAACACAAAACATTAAAATCAATAAAATAATAACACGTACATACAATTTTTTTTTTTTTTACATCCACTAGCGTGACTCAACAGCTACAAAGCATTTAGGTGTCAAACTGCAGAATGATTCAGAGTAACGATTCGTTTTACCAGCCTCATGATGCAAAAACCTTCTTAACTGAGGCCAAGAGAGCTGATGCCTTAAAGGCAGCTTGTTGGTTGCAACAAGAATGCAGGTCGCTTAGTTTCACTTCCATTATTTCTGGACAGATTTTGAAAATGTTATTCAGGCTCCTTCTATCTTTTCTTGAGAGGCCATAAAACCAACAGACAAAAGCACAGAAAAACACAAAGGTGTCACATAGAAACAAGAAAGAATAAGTTTACTGACAGAAAAAGATTGGAATTCTCTGCTGTCCCTGCTTCACAATAATATCTGTAGTCACATCTGTTTTAAGCTGATCATCAAAACCAGTGGCCAGACATTTACATGACTGAACAAGTTCCACACTTTCATTGTGTTTGGCTACTGTACATGCCCATTACATCTAAAATCAACAGTCGGTGCCTTTGTTTTAAATCCAGCAAGCTGTTGTCACACTAATAATAAAAATCCATGAGAGTTGTGCTGTGTAAAGATTGTGAACCTTGAAGAAGGGAAAGCAATGCAGTGTCATCAGAAGAGTGCTCATGCTCCATCAGTGTACATAAAGAGAAAGGGTGAAAGGGTGCATCCTTATAGAGAGCCAGCTGACATGGTTATAGTGCTTAAAAAACAGTCGAGAGCCCCTCTGCGCTCTGCCAGTCAAGAAGTCCGAAATTCACAATGCAAGCTGGTGAGGCAGACAAAAATCACAAAGTAACCTTTTTATTAAATGATGGGTCTGCACTCTACTCAGTGCTGGAGAAATGTCAGCAAAAAAAAAGTGAAAAAGCCAAGTATGAGCTTGTGATTTTGTGCAAATGCTTAATTAGACTTGTGAAATATAAAGAGGTTTGCATCCTCTACAAATCTCACGGCCCAGTAAGCAAACTACAGAGAATCAAGTTTTCCATCAACCACTACCAAAACAAGGTTTTTAACAAAGATTTTTAATGACTAAGGATGTAAGCATGAAAGGTCTATCATAATCATGCAACATCACCTCCATCACTTCCTGCCCAGCTGTGTGGACGCAGGGTGACGCGGTGACACATGAGAGCCCTCTTATATTTAACAGAAAATGTGTAAATGCTGATAACATGTCTTTGCTTGCTCTGTGTAGTTACTTCATTGCTTTATCAGACAATTTCCACAACTTCGCACCAAGCTGCATCTATCTTCTCTTTATCATTGTAATCTAGAAGGCAGGGGTCATACAGGAGAGACTGCGACTATTATTGTCTTGTCCACAGATGTTTTAACATTCACCCGTGTCCAAACAAGCCACTTTGTCAGTTTTCATTGTGTCACTTTTGTGCAAATTTTACCTTCATTTGCACAAAGTTAAACATTTACAGTACAGCCTTTGACTCCTTCCCTTTGATTGCTTCAAGAGCCCTTTTTGTGTCTCCTGGAATCCCACAGTGCTTTGAAAAGCGATTTGCTTGTGTCTCATAGAAAACAAAAGGGGGTGAGTTTGATGGCGTGCTGCACCGCACTCCGTGGGTTGTCATTCTGAGGGTTAGTGTTCTTTTGAGACAAGTATAATAGCAGAGGATTTTCAATCATCAGGGATGTGTTTACAATCAAGTGACATCTGGAAGATATGATGGAGGACACTGCCAAGCTGTCAGCACAGTATCATCAAATGTCCCCATAATCCCAGGACTGTCCCAGACTAATCAAACTGTGGAAATACTGTATCTGTCTCCAGGGTGGTAATGCCTGAGGTTAATGGTCAGTAGTTAAATCATTTAACAGTAGCTGCTTTTAAGTTTATCACTGTGGTCAGATGTAAGCTTTGCATCTGCAAAATGTTTTCTTTTTCTGTTTGAGTTTTTTCAGAGGGGTTGTAGCATTTTTATGAGCTGTGAAAGTTTCTCAGAAAATAAATCATCTCAAATAGTCTGAATACAAACAATAAAACTTTCTAAACTGGTGTTGACTTTTTACACAGCACCAATGCTACTATTTTTAGTTCAGATGTAGTGCTTTTCAAACTCTGAACGGACTTATGAATTACTTTCCAATGCCTTGATAAACTTATTGTATTTTTTTATGTGCATTCGCTCAGAGGAATCTTTCGCTGAACTTTTGTTTTTACTACGCCTGTGCTCGAATCATTCATCTAGCTGGGTTCAACTTCTTTTACATGACTATTCATTGGAAAAAGTTCAGTGTCCTTGTTCAATAATCTCTTGATGAATACAGAGCTGTTTGAGTGTGTGTTATTAAAGAGTGAGACAAAGAGAGATAGAAAGAGAGAAAACATCTGCATAACCACGCTCATTGATTTCAGTCTCTA